TCTGGCAGTCTGCAAAGGCCCTATGTCATAAGGCAACAGTAGCTAACTGGCTCATAAGAAAGAGAAAATAGTTTAAAACATTGGACATTTGTACCTACAGCTATCAGAAAAGACACATCTGACAGAAGTGAGAAGCTCTTGACTTGCAGAAAATCTAAGGGGAATATCTCAAGAAGTGGAGTGATGTAGATTTGCCTTTGCAATATTTAATCATGATTACGACATTCCAGAGCAGCCAGCAGCCAGTCCTAGACATTTTGCATATCAAACAGTCAACAAGTAGTTATTAGAATCATATCTCCTGGATCTTCTTTTTAAAAAGCTAGTAATTTATGCAGCATTCATTGAAACCTAATTGTAAGGACAATTTATCCTAGAATCAGTATAGAATCTTGCTGAAATCAATTGGGCTTTTAAAGAGTTGAGGTTGTAGGCAACAATCCACAGATACAGGTACTCTGGTTATTTTCGTGACTCTTTTAACCCTCATTTTTGGATCTCTAGGGGTTATTTTTTAACAGCAACAAGTTTTAAAAAACAGGTTGCAGGTTTATTGCGAGGTAGCTGAAAGAGTTAGGAGTTACTTTGCGCTTTAGAACTTTAGCCTCCAACTTTGCCTCCAACTTTGCAGACATAGTTGTCCTCCTTTAACATAGAAGCCTCCAACTTTGCAGACATAGTTGTCTCATTTAATGGATCAGAAGAAGTAGAGTAAGGGCCTGTACAGACCGGCCACAATGGCTGGCCTGGGGTTGGAGTTGGGGCGGGGCGACTGCACACCAGCCGCCCCGACTCTGCCGTGACACCACCGTCATGCCGCATCACACTGTGTGCCCCACCACACAGCACACAGCATCAGGGTGCTCCCTTGGCGCAGCATGTAGACATGCTGCGCCAAAGGGGTGCAGAAGAACCATAGTGGTGGTGGTAAGGGCGGCTTTTTCCACTCCAAAAAGGAGCGGAATTTGCCAGCTCTTTTTGGAGTGGCAAAAAGCCAGATCGGGGCCATGGCCTGTGGTTGCTGCATCCCCAATCCGGCACTCCTTAGGGGCTGTCTGTATGGCCCCTACAGTTACAAAAGCTTATGCTACAACTTCTTTCACTCAGTCTCAAAGGTGCTGCAAGATCCCTTTGCATACTGATATTCTAGGCTAACATGCCTATTTCTCTGTATGTGATTATTTATTTATTTAAATATTTATAACTCACACTATATGTGGAAATAAGGGAAGGGATGGTCAGGACTGGTTAGCAATGTGGTGGAGGACCAGCAAGAAATACCAAGTGCTGTAGGCTGTAAGGTTTATCGCACAGCACTTTCAGAAACTGGAACTGAACAGAGCAGAACAGCACAGAATGGTGTGAGAACGCAAGTTACTGCACAGGAGAACGCCACCAATGCTGCCAGGAGTTCCCAAGCCATTCCTGGCAGTCGGTTTTGAAGAACGGTATAAATTTGTTCTTCAAAATCGGCTGCCAGGAATGACTAGGGAACAGCTTGGGAACTCCTGGCAGCATTGGCAGTGTTCTCCTGTGCGGTAACTTGCATTCTTGCACCATTCTGTGCCATTCTGTTCTGTTCAGTTCCCCTTCCTAAAAGTGCTGTGTTATGTTTGAGAAGAAGGCAAT